CACAAAAAAAAAAAAAAAAATATATATATATATATATATATCTACCATGTATTTCCCTCAATAGTCATAACTTTAATTCTTAGTTGTATTCTTAGTTCTTAGCAATCTGATTGAATCAACTCATACTAATGTGTGAATGACTGATTTGTAGATTTACTTATATATACACCACACATGCACACACACACACACACACACACACACTCGCACACACACACACAATTGCATTACTTATGTGTTAGCTAGGCACATTCTAGGCACTAGGGATATAATAGAGGGGGAAAAAAGAGAACAAGGTTTCTGCTCCCATGAAGCTTACATTTTAGTGGGGAGAGTTAGACAACAATAATAACACTCAGAAATAAATAAACCAATAAATCAGAAGGTAGTAAATACTCTTCAGAAAACAATGGGATAAAACAGAAGAACCGGTTAATCCTCTTTGAAGATATCATTTAAGATGAGATGTCATTGAAAACAAAGAGCCAGTCTTGTGTAAATGAAGGGAAAGCATTTTAGACAGATAGTACATCCCTGAGAAAGGAATGGACTTGGGGTGTGGAGGACAGAAAAAGAGGCCATTGGGTCCAAAGAACAGTGGCCAAGGAGAACAGAACTTCAGAATAGGCAGGGGCCAAATCACACAGGTCCTTAAAAGAGAGACGCATTTGGTGTTTATCCTAAGTGAAAAAAAGAAGCCATAATAAACAGTAATATAGTCTTATTTACATCTCAAAATGATCACTAACAGGGGCAGGGAGGCAGATGAGAGGCTACTGTAGTAGTCTGGGTGAGATAGAACAGCTGTGTAGACTAGGATGGTGGTGGTGGAGGGACAGTTAAGTGGGACAAATCAAGACACACTTTAGAGAAAAGATCTGCAGGACATATAAATGGATTGACTGTGGGGTAGAGGAAAAGGGAATCAAGGATACCTGGGTGGATGATGATACTGTTTTCCTGAGAAAGGCAAGATCTGGAAAGAATGGGTTTGATTGAAAGATATGGTTGTTAGACGTAGAAATCAACAGTTCTGTTTTGAATATAGTAATTCTGAGCTACAAATTACACATCTAGAATCAAGTGTAAGCTATGTGATCGCCATGGAAGGTGGCTGGTATATGAACATAGCACCTGGGGAAAGTTCGGGCTGGAGATAGAAATTTAGCAATCATTTGCATATAGATGGCATATAAGCCATGGGTCAAAACGAGAAGAAGGGGCAACCTCTTTCAGGTCCCCTCCCACTGTGGGAGCTTTCCTATCTTCTTAATAAATCCTACTTTCTTTTTGGGGGGG